AACTGCTCCCAGTTGAGAACCACTGCTCTATACTATCTCCTTTATTGCTCAATATTAAGCTGTGGAGAGATGAAAAGAAGTCCGCATCCACGGGATTCTTAATCTCAGACCCCTTCTAATTTGACTACAGAGAATAAGAAACAATCCACATCTTCTTTTCTCTTCTAATAAAATGGCTATCTGAGAGACCTTAGCATCCTCTCCCTGAACATAAGTAAAGGTCATAAAAAGACAAGTAAACATAAAGAAACAGAAAGTGTAAGCAACCAGCTGGTACTTCCCCCCACAAAATACAAGGAATTTCATCTGCAGTGAGTTTAAGATTTTTACTCTTCCTCATACTGAAAAAAAAAATCCCATAGATTTCCCCAAGACATACATGTCTATTTATCAGTAGAATTTCAAGACCAGAACTAGCTTCTACACATATAAGAATACATATTTCTTACTTCTGGATCCTTGCAGGAAATATATTACTGACACTCTATGTTCAAACATGGTAGCACCTGCATTTTGTACCGCTGAAGCCTTTTAGATAAAGATCTCATACCACTAAAGCTACTACTTTTTAAGTAAAACTAAAGGATATTGAATTCATGGTATCATTCAAAAAAGTCAATAAATTACTGCTATATAACATCAAAAAGATGCTATATAATCAAGCGGACCTGTTAGTTAAGTCACCAACAACAGAATTTAAGAAATCTAGTAAGTAAAACCTTTAAAACCCAGCTCAAATCACTAAATTCCTTCCCCCAATTCAACAAAACTACTAAAATTACTTAGACATGGCTCTGGGATCTTCTAAAAAATTATGCAACTTTAAAAAGCAAAGTCAGTGAGCTTAAGAGTTTTAGGAGTCACAAAGTCTTTAAGAAATCTACTTTTTAGCTACTCTCAGAGGATGGTTAGAAAGTCTTCCTGTATCAGAGTCATTATAAGTACAGCACAATGACAATGACTTATACAGCATCTGATGAAGAACCAAACTGGGTAACATTTCTTATTGATGAGGATGACATCTTATTAGATCAAAGGTGATACAATAAGGAGACCTGAGAGGGAGAGAAGCCTGCTACTTCCTTCAGGTAGAGCCTCAGAGGTGAGCAATACACTGGCAGCCCTTAATTAGACTACTCTCCTGTCTAAATTTGGATACTCTGATCTCCCTAAAACACTTAAGAACCACCCTAATTTCATCAATACCAAAAGTAGTTTATTCTGCATGTGATTTATCTCACGTGTTTAATGACTACTGAATTTAATCTCATAAGGTAATATTCCCTGACCTTGATTTAAAAGTCGGGGAGGGTGGTGTGACAATGGAAAGACACCTTTACATTCCACGACATGGCCCTCCAGGGCACTACCCCAGTCACCCCTCAGTGTAGCACAGTAACTCCACCAGTCTCGGCTTCACAGCGGCTCTCAACAGGATAGTCAGATGAGGCAGAAGCTTCTGCTGTGTTTTGAAAATAGTTTTAAATTACTTATGTATTTCTTCTGTCATCTGGTGACCAAAAAATATACAATGCTATTTTACCTAATTATATATAAACTTGAAATCCTACAGTTTCAGACCATATAATCAAAATCTCTTATTTTAATATCCAAGTTTAACACTTCCTAAATTTTACGAAAATTATTTTCACTATAAATAGGAAAACACTCTTAATAAGAGAAGAAATTCCTAAGTCAATATTCACTTCTAAAATGTAGACTCTTTTTGAAGCCTAATGATAACAGTATCACTGAATATATTTTTATTCTAAAATTCCCTCCACGATTTCCCCTCATCTCTTAGTTTCTTCTTTAAAAAAAAAAAACAACTTTTATCTTCCTATCTGGGAGGATTGAAATCAAAAACACACAAAGCTAAGGTGGACAGATCAGGATTAGCCGTAAGGAGTGTTATTTCATCAAATCAAATTAATTCAGCCGAATGTGGCTTAACCTACATAGCATTAGACATACTCCAATCTCTCTCCAAAGTTATAACCAAAATTATTTTTTTAATACAGACATTAAAGCTAGCTGGGTCTGTGAATCTTTCTTAGTTAGGCTGACAAGAAAACCAATAGACAAACATCTAAGGGCAGCTTTCAGGATGAACACTAGGTAAGCTATTGCCTGCACACACTTTCAAATGTATCATGAAATACTATAACCTAGAGACTGGGGAAAGGAGAAGAAATAAGAGTTGTAAAACCTTGCAGCCTAGTCCCATGGAACACAATTATGGTTCGATTTGGTAAATAAACTGGTAAGAGATGAGCCGGCTCTGCAGCAGTCCCACCCACTGACCGGGTGAAGAAACCTGCCCAGCAATAGCTAACTAGAAGCTGCTGTGAAACTCAGCACCAGCCTCTGGTGTTCAGAGAGGACAACACTTATGGGTCAGGGAGTCAGCAAGAGAGTAAGTAGCCTCTTGAGGTACAACTTAACTCCAGACAAAGAAAAACTTTATTCCAGATCGCCTAGGTGTGGCTATCCTCAGAAAGACATCCAGGTTTCCTGCAACACAGATCCAGCTGAAGAAACAATGCATGCCTAATGTATGCTGAGTACTCATAGTGAGGGAATCTCAAGTTCACATAAAATATTATTTTTAAAAAAGCTTTTCAATGTTGTCCAATATACATGAAAATCATATTACTGACTAACCAGTGTTGAGTTGGTTTTTCAGCAGCAGAGAGAGATTTGTACTGAACCAGCCAGTTACTAACCTGGCCACTCCTACAACCAACATTTCAAGATGACAGTCTAGGGTTAAGGAAGTAGAGATGGCCTTGAAACAAGATGAAACTCACTGTCTCATCTACAAATCAAAACTACACTGACCTCACTGTACCTTCTAAGTATGCACAGCAACAATGATTTACTAAATGTTTCTCCCATTTCCTCAGCTCACGCCTCCTCTCCTACCTCAGTCTATGCTATTCTCCTCAATCTGAATTCTACCTATCCTTCAAAACTCATTTTAAATCAGAAAAAAAAATCATGTTAATCCCATCTCATCTGTTACTTCTTCCCCAACTTCACATCACCAAGCTGTGATACATCCCTCCCTCTGAATTCTAAAGCACATACTATCCGTCCTCATTCACCTTAGTTGTTACTTTTTCCAACAAAACTGTAAGGTGCTTAAGGACGGGAACCACATATTCCTCAGTATCACCTCTAGGACATTCAGCTGAGAACCTTGTACGTCTGGAGGAAATATTCAGTTATATTTATTTGTGTTGGGCCTCAATTTACAAATCAGGCATGACAGATAATAAATAAGACTAAAAAGATCAATAACTTCTCCTCCAGACATCAAACAGGCTTAGAAAAAACACCTAGAAAGTCCTTCAAATTACCCCTTTTCAAGAGCACTTTGAAGTGAGGACTCCAGGTGGTAAAAAGTAAAGATATAATAAGTTCTGGAAGGTTAGACTGTTTTCTCACTCCTAAAGCCAAATATTGAACAGCAACTTAAAGATCAGAAGATCTAAGGCCACACTGTTCAACAGGGCATCACATTCAACATGTCACTGGTCACACACATACTGGCTGAATTCCAGACTCCCTCTCTGTGGTAAGAGAGAGTTCTGGAGGCTCTGATGTCCGCTGGCAAAAAAACAAGGCACCTGCTTTTCTCAGCCCTGAAGCATGGCAAAAAACACATAGACACACACACACACACACACACACACACACACAGAGCCAAATCACCAAGTGAAACTGAAAGAGTATGTAGATGAAACTAGAACTATGAAGTTGGGGGCAAAAAGAGACGAAAGAAAATGCTGGAAAAGCACAACTTTTAGGTGAAAAGCCTAAAATAACCTTTAGGCACTTGTCACTGGACTCCATTTGTGTCTCTAGGGAATAAGACATACAGATCACACTTTAGTAGGCTCTCCCACAGATTGCCTCTATAAACAGAGAGGTAAGTTGTGACACAGGCACCCTGTCTTAAGGCTGAACACAGATACTTCTAAGGAAAGGAACAACCATAACTAGTTCTAAAGATGGTTGGCCAAAGGCAGGATTAACATTCACCTGCGTGGGCCTCCCTGCAGTAGCTATAACTCAACCCCAAGCAGCCTCTGAGTTCGGGGTGCTGTAGCTGGCTAGCCTGCTGCAGAAGCACTTTTTTCACAGCCATAGCACTGCCTCTCTAGGGGCTAATGCAGTCTGGCAGAAACTAGTGAAAATCAATTTTACGTCAGTCCCTAGCATTCTGTCCTAGATCTTTTTATTAAGTGAAGGGGGGTGGGGGGAGGGTAAGGCAGGTAGTGCTAAAGACACTGGCAGCATGACAACCAAAATAACCAAGTTGAAACAATCTGTTCTGCCTTCTTCCTAAAGCCATTTCCTTCAGGAGTGACAGGGAGCGCAGGCAGTCTGCAAGTCATTAGTACACTGCTGTTTTCACTTTCCCAAGAACCCTGGAAACTCCTGAATAGCAAAATCTCCCTCTGCACCCCGGGTACCTTCAAACCCTCTCTTTGCACGCTTTCTTCCTCCTTCCCTAGAGACAACCGAATAAGGACAATCCTCCGCAATCCGCTATTTTGCTTCAATGAGGATGGGGGGTGGGGGAGGATCTGGTGAAAAGTGTAAAAGGAAATAGAGAAAGGTGAGAAGCAAATAGAAGAAAGGTGAGAAAGAGTATCGAGTGGGGGGAAAGAGAGGTCATCGTGGGAAGGAGACAAGGTGAAGAAGGGTGCAAGAAAATGAGAGGAGGTGTCACAGGAGAACTTGCTAAGGAAGACCAAAAAAAGAAAGGAAGGGGGCAGGAAGAGAGGGGAGAGAGGCAGGTGGAGCAACCGAGTGGGAAAACAGGCAGGGCGGGAGTTCCGGGGCCAGCGGCCGGAGACCGCGGGCAGCAGGTTCTTGGCCGACCGAGGTCAGGGGAACCGGGGCTGTGCGGGAAGCCGCAGACCCGTTCTGGGGCAGCGGGGCAAGGAAGCCATGCCGGCGCCCGAGCGCAGAGGACACGGTGCTCTTACCGGTAGTTTGGGGCTGACCTCGCCCTTGCAAAAGTGGCAGAAAAACCGGTGCGCGGGGACCGCGGCCCCGGCTCCGGCCGCCGAGGCCT